AAAATACTATGTGCGTTCCTAATTGAAACTAAGTGAAAACTTTTTTCAGTGTAAAGCAACCAACGATACACACGCTAACTTGAAAGTACCCATTAATGGTTGAAAAAGACCCATTTTGAAGAAAAGTGGCTTAACTCATTAAATGAGTAATTTTTTTTTACCCATTAATGAGTATCTGTTATGAGTAATTGTTAATCATTAATGGGTAACAGATACTCATTAATGGGTAAAATTGTTTAATCATTAATGAGTTAAGCCACTTTTCTTCAAAATGGGTCTTTTTTTACTCATTAATGAGTACTTTCAAGTTAGCGTGCAGACAAAACGCTTGCTACGACTACTAAAGCCCTACAATAAAAGTATGGACGACTGTCACCATAAAACTGAAAAAAAGCTGCTCCAATCGAGCAAAGCGGTGCATTTTGACGGTTCGATTGGAACAACTTTTAACAGACGTCCATACTTTTACTGTAGGGCTTTAACGACTACCACGACAAAAGGTCGGCGCACAATGGATACGTTTTCAGGTTTTTTGACAGTTAGCCCATGCCCATGCCCATGTCTAAAAACCCGAAAACGTATGCATGGTGCGCCAGCCTAAACTCTCACTGCAACACAGCTCGATCGGAGTGGTAGAAGGATAATGATATATTGCTTGCCTGCTTTGTTGCAATATACACGGATGAGGACATAGCTTGATCTGAATCGAGAAAAGACATAACAAAAAAAAATCCCATTAACACACGTGTATCATCTTCGGCTTTACTTCGCGAAGCAGCTTGCCAACAATTTGCTCGTTTCCTTCTACCGCCCCGAATAAGCTGTGTCGCACGGGCTGCTTGTCATGAAAAAGAAGGAAGAAGATTATATCATTATTGCTTTCCACTTCTGACATAGCGTTATCATTCGGTTTGTTGATCGCTTGTCATTTTGTCATTTGGAGATATTTTTGATTCCTTGCTCCCAGGCATTTCAACACGCACTTCTAGTTTATTGCGTGCTCTCCAACGGTAATTTCTGACCGCTGCAGCGCTTCAAAGTTACTGATCAATACCACTTCGCTTTTGTTGTGGGCTATCTGCAGCTTCGCTCCATGCATTAGGTTTCCAATCATGTCGACAGCCTCAGTTGACAACATTTCCAACTTTTCCAGCGTCTTGCCTGTAACCGTAAGACGACGTTGTCCGCAAATCCAACGATCTTTCACTCGTTTGAGTAGCTGCAGCGTTAGACCGCCGTTTTAAATCACGTTCCAGAGCGTTGGACCAAGGATGGAGCCTTGTGCAATTTCCATCTTGATCCTAATCGATCTCTGTCCCATATTTGGCTCATAGATCAAAACCCGGTTCTGGAAGTAGCGTCGGCCTCCCAGCTGGACCCGTTGAACGCATTCTTGACGTCGATCGTTATCACGGCGTAATATCGATCTCCTCTCCACAACTCGACAACTGCCCGAATTGCATCCTTTTTTGCTCTTCCTTTTCGAAATACGAACTGCCTCTCCGACAATCCTTGCTTACTCTCCATGCATTTCGTCAGCCTGTTTAGGATGATCCTCTCCAAGAGTTTTCCGAGTGTATCCAGCAGGCACTGCTAGGAGTTGCTCGTTGGTGACTTTGTCGTTATCTCCCTCTTCGTCTTCGTACGATGCAGGTGGCCAGGTCGTTGGATCGTGCTTAGAGAAAAGTCCTTCCACGATGACTTTCAGGTTCTCTAAGCAAATTTCAGTGGGCATGACTTGACATCTAACGTTCGTCATCACGACACGGTGTGCATCGTTGGCAGCAGCGTCTCGACCCAGCTCCTTTTGACAGTTTGACTTGCTCTTCTTTATCTCTCGTTTATGTGCTCGGAACATTCCTCTACGTTCCTCTCTCTCTGCTTCTGTTCTTGCTCTCTGAACACGTCCTCTGGCTCTGAGACAACTAGCGCGGAGGGTGCTAATTGCCTCGTTGCAGCAGTAAGCTGGAGCTCCAGTTTCCTCGGGATGGTCGTGTCACATGCTTTCCCTAATGATTCTGCCACAGGATTCCGTTGGCCGATGCCATATCAGATTGCCTTATGGTCACTATTGGTATATCCTTCACACACTCTCCAATTCATGTTTCCACCAGCGATGGACTGCAGTCCGCATAAAGTGACGTCGATAATGGATTCCCGGCCATCTATGCGAAAAGTGCTGGTGGTGCCTTTATTGAACAGCCTTACTTCCAGCTTCGCCAGAGCTTCCAGCAGAATGTGGTCTCTTGCGTTGGTACATCAGTTTCCCCCACTCCACTGCCTAAGCATTGAAGTCTCCTCCGATGACTACCGGTCTTCGTCCCATCAGCTCTTCGGTTAGTTCAACCAGTGTGTCTCGTGAAACTGCTCCATCGCCCATCGGGTGCGTAGCAACTGCATATGAATATTCCGTTAATTTTGGCGATCACGAAACCTTCTGCTTGAATGGGGTATCTGTCCATAACTTATATTGCAGCCATCCCAGGTCTATCCGCTTCCTACCCGAGCAAAGTTAGAGATCAAATTGAAATCAGAATTTGTTGCTATGATGTAAGTTATTTTGAATACTCTATTTGATCTCATTTTGGTCAAAAATGAGAGCAAAATTTTACACTGTTGAATCAAACGGAAAACTAATCCTGCTTTCAATGAAATCAATTTGATTACTGATTTTGCATTCATAATGTTTGACTGAATACGGGTCTGGCGTAAATGGTTAGCATCCAAGCTTCTCACGCTGAAAGACTTGAGCTCAAATGTCACCTCGGGCTGGTTACGAATGACCTAAAATGTGTTAAACAAAACAAATAAACAATAATCGTTAGTTCAACGACAGATGAGCTTAAATTAAATTTTAAACAAGACGTTAACAGCAGAACTTCAAGTTAAGTTGCTTTCATTTAAAATTTCTTGACTGCATAATGAAAGCACAATATGATATCAGACTAATGTCGTGACAATTGTAATCAAAATGAGTATTCATTATGATAGGAACTGCAAACTTTAGTATCGATTTGCTTTCATTTTGTTAACCAACTTTGCTCGGGTAGTTACCTTTATCGGGAGCGACTCGATACAGCCATAGAGGTAACTCTAAGACTAGAAGGTCCCGAAATAACGTGCTCAACTTTTTGGCTCAGCTCTGGTACTCTCTTCGGTCCCAAGCTAATCGATTCACCCCTCGAAACATAGGAAAAACCAATAACCCCTCACTTTATCTGTCAAACTTTCATAGCGAATCAAAACAAACATTGCGTAGTACTAGAATTTTGACTAGAATGGGGTGCGTTAATCGTTTGCTTGGGACCAATAGGCTAGTCAATTAGTGAGCCAATTTAAAATCGTTAGTTTCGTATTGATTGTTGATACAGCCGTGCATTGTCACAATAGTTGAGGTTTATTTGAGTTTCCTCAGTTATTGTTATGACAAAACAATTAAGTGTCATTTGGAGCGAAATGCTTAAAAATCAAAAAGTTCAGCAAAATCTTCAGGCTGACAAAGTCGAGGGAAAAAAAAGCCGACAAAATCGGGAAATCACTGTATACAATTCTTTGCTTCACCGGCAACCATTGTAAGGCGTCTAGCATCAAAGTTAAGGAAGTGAATCTATTACATCTCGATATCAAACGCATTATTGTATTCTGCAAGCGCTGTTATCTAAATATTTGTGTTTCATTGGCCAGAAATAAAATGGAAGGGCAAAAATCTAGATAAGGAGAGATTTGTACAGCTGTATTTTACTGGCAATAGTTAAATCTTTTTTAGTCGACATAGAATTTCATACTTCTCGGCCATTTTCCTGATGACATTGTCAATGTGAGAGTTGAACTTAAGTTTGTGATCAATAATCACGTCAAGATATTTAATGTCCCGAAAGCGATCAATGGTTTCATCATCAATTACACCAGAGACCTTCTCATTTACTCAATTACCATAAATTTAGTTTTACTTGTAGTCAATTACAACTGCTTATATTTCAAACAATTTACTTAGAGAATGCAAATCTTCATTCAAGTGTAAAATGGCATCATGTAAATCCTCAGCTGCAATTAATAATTCAGTACCATCTGCAAAAAGATTAATGTCGCAAAATCGTAAAACACGTCACAAGTCATTAATATACTTAATAAATAACAGGGGGCCTAATACACTTCCCTGGACACTGCAAGGTTTTTCCCCACGGGACTGGAAACATAATCATTTACAACAGTTCGTTGCTTACTGTCAGACAAATAGCTCTCAAACCATTTACATATATGCAGCTCTCGTTATTCCAAAGCGCTTGATTGATCTTAACAATAAGGGCCTAGAAATTGTTTCAAAAGCGTGTTTTAGTTTGAAAAAAAACAGCAACAAGCATATATTTCCGCTCCAGGCTATTTTTCCGCTTCGCCAAAGTCAAATTCAACGCGGTTTCACAAGAATGATCTTCCCGATATTCCGATTGTGCTGACTTGATTCAACTTCAACTTGAACTTGAACTCAACTTAAATTCAACTGACTTGATCAATTGACTTGCCCTGTCTAAACCCAGCTTTAGGCTGGAATGGCATAGATTTTTACTTGTTTACTTGTACCCAGACTTTTACACTGAGTGACTGAGCAACCGAAGAACCAGCAACGACGACACTGTCGAGTCAAGTAGCTGTATTTGCTAAATTCATAGAGGACATTGCCCCAGGTGGGATGGAAGTGTGTGACCTTCAAAATTTCACATGCGATTACTGCTTCACCACCAATTTGTTTGCATCCTCAGCGAAGCGCATTAGAATTTAAAAAAAAGCCTCATCGTGCACATATGCCCTTCACATAAGCTGTTACCCTATTTCTCGATAACTTTCTTTAACAGCATGGATACTTCCAATTGGTAATTACGGTTCATATTAATTCACTACCTCTAGATCATCTAACTTGAGATCTATCTTGACAGCTACTGGTATCACTTGAATATTCATATGCTCTCAGAATTAACCAAACATCCATGTTTACCATTCGTCAGGTTTTCACCAAACTCAAAAAGAAATCCCCAACCTTCACAGACCGTATCAAGGTCATCGAAGGCAACCTGGAGAAGGAAAGGCTCGATCTGTCGGCTGCGAGTGTAGAATACTTGCAAGAGAACGTCCAGGTAATCCTGCACATCGCTGCAACCGTCAAGTTTGATGAAGAAATTATCAAAGCTCTTGGCATCAATCTGGGCGGCACCAGAGAAGTGCTCGAAGTTGCCAGAGAGGCAAAGAAGCTAGAGGTAAGTTATCAGCGTGGTTCGAAGCTTTCTAACGAATCGTAGATAAACCATTTGCTTGCAGAGTTTCATCTACGTCTCAACGGCTTACTCGAACAGCTATCAGGATCACATCGAGGAACGCGTCTATCCGCTTGAGATGAGCCCGGAAAAAATTCTCGCAAATCTAGAAAATGACAAGATGAAGGAGGACGTCTTCAAGTACTCCCTGAAGTGGCCAAACACGTACACGTTCACTAAAGCCCTAGCTGAAGCTCTAACCCAGGGCTACCGACAGTACTTCCCAGTGGCAGTCGTCCGGCCTTCATGTGTCATGCCCGCGCTAGATGAGCCGATCCCCGGCTGGTGTGACAGTATATATGGTGTTAATGGTACATTTATCGGCTGGTACTATGGCTTGATTCGGACTTCCCAAATCGACTCACAAGTACAGATTGACACCGTTCCGGTGGACTACGTTAGTAATACCATCATCGCTTGCGGATGGAAAACCTATGCCACACGGTATGTGGATCGCTGTTAAAACATGACTGGGTTTGAAACATACCGTTAATATTTTTTCCTCTAAATACAGGGAGGAAGAGAAGGAAGTTATAGTGTACAACTGCATAAGTTCTGCGGATAACCCTCTGACGTTTGGTAAGTCAATCATTCTTGTATCTAGAGAGTATACTTGCTAAGCTTTCTTCTTTGATTCAACTGTAGATGAGCGGCGACTTGAGTGCAAGAAGGCCATTCAGAAGCACCCCCTGTTGACGGGCCTGTACACACCGTTCAGTGTGTGTACCTCCAGCGAAACGCTTTTCCGCATCTACTCGCTGTTCCTACACTACTTGCCGGCGTTCCTGATGGATACCGCGCTGCGGCTACGGGGCGAGAAACCACGACTAGTCAGCACCTACCAAAAGATCGACAAGGTAGTCGAAACGGTTAAAGTGTTCACCAATACCACGTTTTTCTTCGACAACGAGAACATGCGGGATCTCTACGTGCTGTAAGTAGATATTTTTTTTATTTGCGTAAAAAATGTATGATGCATCTTATACTGAAGTAGTGACGCCAATTAAGCCCCCCTCTTCCATAATTTTCAGTAGGGGCTATTTATAACTTGAACCCCCTTATCGAGAAATATGGTACTAACTTCATGTTGTTTCAGAGCATGTTTCGTCAAATATTATGAAACTATATAGGTTCCATCAATCACTAATCGATTAAAGAGTCCAAATGCATGCAGGTTCGCAGGGTTTTTCTGATTATTGGAAAGAATAAAAAAAATGTTTTATTTAGCTTAGGCATTCAACTATTTACGCTGTTAACTGTTTAACAAATTCAAAAACTCGGCCAACCTTCATGAATTTCAAAACTTCGGTTTATTTGTGATCGATTCTCACAGTTTCAGATAACTGCGATTATATATTTGAAGCAAAAAGAGCAAATCCTTTCAACAATCCTCTAAAAGATATGCTTTGGAATGTTTTTTTTTTTGTGTATTATAGTCACTTTTACGTATTTTAGATGATTCGTGACTTGTCCGGGGATTATATTTGTACTCGTGACCTTTAACGTGAGAGGCATGGATACTATACACTACGCCGGGCCCGTTCCCAGTTTTATAAAGTTTACTCATTTTTTTCGAGCAGCTTAATTCGAAGTGTTTCTGGTTAATTGACAATGTCATGTGGTATTGGGTCCAGAGTTGAAAAAATCATGAAAAAATCACCAGCATTCACTATGAAATGAATTTTTCATCCATAGTGAACTTTGATGAATTTTAGTGATTTTTTCAGCCCTGATTGGGTCATTACAAGAATACTGTTACGCATTTGACAACACATTTTGGCTGCTGGGTACATTATTTAAGACCTTTGGGGGTGATGTATCTGGCAGCAAGGCGAGCGAACGATCAATGAAAATTAAATGGTGTAATTTATGGTGGTCCTGAAAAGAACCGTTTTGTCGTGATGTTTGAGTCACCCACAAACCGACATGAAACTTAAACTTAAAGTTTGCTTAAAAATTTAGACCGGCCGATTCAAATGTGCAGCGATCCGATCTGTCAAAACCATAGAAAGATTTTATCTAGAATAAAAAAATTTGTCCAGAATAGATCAGACACGAACCAACTCATACATTTTGCACACGTGTTCGTGGCTTAGATAAATGTTTTCCGCGAACACGGGGACAGATGACAGTTGTGTGCTTTGAGCATAAATTTAAAGATAATTTCTATGCTGATTCATGTCGGTTGGTAGGTGGTTGAGTAATGCTGAGTTATTAGGGTGTTCAACACGGATGAAGATGGCGAGCTGTATGTTGTTTGGAACGAAGGTGACACGCTTGGCATAGATGGCCCACAGCGGCTCACGACGAGCAACTGAATCCGATCAGTAGCGGTGCGGCTTCTTCCTCCTTTTTCGGTGAATCGAGGGCTCTTGAGGGCAGCCTAGATAGCTAGCTGCTTGCGGGGAGCCTTTCGTTGTGTACTGGAAAAAAAATGTACAACGTCACGCGCCGGGGGTTCATTTAAAAAAAAAATACTCACTAACTCAAATACAGAGCAAAATATGATGTTGATGTCTTCGATAAAGTGGTTTGAAATAAAGTTTGACAACTTTGTCGAAAACATCAACTCATTATCTCGACACTGTGAAAAAAAACAAATTATACATCTCATTTTTAGGGGAATTAATCACAAAACTAATATCTGCAAAAGATGAAGCAGGTCACTTTTATCAATTTTGCTGAAGACAACACTTTAAATCCACGTTTGCACGATGCTATTAATTGAGAACGTGAAAATAGACATTTGAATCACTCCACAGTAAGATTTTTGTTTAAAAAAAAGTCAATTAAATTAATTCAATATCTCAAAATGCCGCTGAACATGATAGGATATTTCCCAAAAATGATTCATGCCGTGATCAGCCACCAAGGCATCAAATTCCTCATAAAAAGCTATCTATTAATGTGTAGCTATCCTATCATACCTAGCGGCGTTTTGAGATATTGAATTAAATTATTTGTATTAAACAAATTTCCCATTGTGGTACTGTGCCATGGTGGGGTTCCCATGAATAGGCTAAACAAAGGGGGGGTTTGTTTGTAACATTCTCGTTTAAAGGCGCCGACAAAGGCACCGACCTAGCTGCAGGCAATGAACAAAGCGCTCCAAAAGAAGTATACAACTGTTTATAGCGCGATCGACAATGAGGGATATAACCATAGAGGTATATAACTCTAAGACTAGAAGGTCCCGAAATAACGTGCTCAACTTTTTGGCTCAGCTCTGGTACTATCTTCGGTCCCAAGCTAATCGATTCACCCCTCGAAACATAGGAAAAACCAATAACCCCTCATTTTATCTGTCAAACTTTCATAGCGAATCAAAACAAACATTGCGTAGTACTAGAATTTCGACTAGAATAGGGTACGTTAATCGTTTGCTTGGGACCAATAGGCTACTAAGTGGTGAGCCAATTTAAAATCGTTAGTTTCATATTGATTGTTGATATAACTGCTGTTGAATCAAAAGTTGAAAGCAAACTGCTGTCCCAAAACTAATCTTAAGTCATGAATCCAATATCATCAATTGTTATTCGTATTTGATTATTATAATATCTGATCCGACACTTGATAATCTTACGGCTACATCCGGTTCTCATCATTCCGGAAAACTGGCTTTTAAAAAGTATAATCAGGCATTTAATTACATTGCACAGTGGTCCAGAATGCAAATTTAGGTGGAATGATATGTTTTGAGCCTGACACTGAAACTTTAGAATAAAAGTCTCTTCTACAAAGTTGTTCCTTATAGTTAGGCCCTCATTTTTGTGACAATGAATTCTAGGATGGTTCTTACTATCATTAAAATCAAAAATCTAACTTTTTTGTTTGAATAAATTAAGGTATACATTTTTCGGTTATAGCTGAGCTAATTTCAAGCAACTTTGTGCAAAACAACTTTTTTGTATCTCTTGGCCGATTTAGAGCTATTGGCCGATTTAGAGCTATTTTCTTGAATTGAGTTAGGGTGGCGCTAAAAAACAGTTATTTTGCTCTAGTTTGCTTATTTCAAATTTCTCAGCAAAGGTGTCTTCAAATTACTTTTAGATCTTTAGAAGGCGCAAATTTTTGCTGCAGAAAGTTTGTCATTGGATTTCCAGGAAATATTAGTTTTTTAGCACTTACATTTTTATTTAAAATTTCTCATGAAAGTCATCTTCTAAAAACTTTAAAAACTCTTTAAGACGAATGTTTTATAGCGAAATCTTCTTCTAATAAAAAAGATATACCCAAATATAGTAAAAAATAAAAATAAATTCAAATCGATTAATGTTATAATGTTATTGAGAATAATATACGTCCTTTCAAATACCGTAAAAAACTTTTTTTTTTGTTTGCCCCAACCAGAGATATTAACATTTGAAAAGTGCACATTTTTAGTATAAAAACGTCAACAACTCTTGATCGGCGAAAGATATTGACAAACTTTTTGCAGCAAAAATTTGTGCCTAATGATCTAAAAGTCATTTGAAGACACCTTTGCTGAGAAATTTGAAATAAGAAAACTAGAGCAAAATAGCTGTTTTGTTAGCGCCACCCTAACTCAATTCAAGAAAATAGTTCTAAATCGGCCAATTTAAGAGATACAAAAAAGTTTTACATAGTTGAAGATGCTAATTTCAAATAACAGACTGTAGTGGTAATTTTTATACGATAGATGGAGTAGATGAAAGCATAGAGTTGATAGTTCCGTTAGAGTACGGCAGTGTGAAGATTGTATATAGATATTAGACAAGCGAGCTAGGACAACTTTTAAGGAAGGTACAAATCGGTTTTTTCATCTCTCTTTACCAAACTCCCCCTTTGGAGAGGGATGGTGAGGGGTGTCCCCCCCCGCCACCACTGGCAAAAAGAGATGAAAACCGACCCGTTCAAGTACCAACTGTGTGTTTGAAACAGTTTTACCGATTTTTACCGCACTTCAATTGTTATTTGAAGGAAGGCATCCAGTCGTAGGTTTGGAAATTGCAACTATTGTTTACCCCTACCACGATATGTGCTCCTGTCATCGTCGACTTGACGATCTCGAGGGGACACGGGTGGGGTAGGTGTTGCTACTGTACCTTTCGACCATTGACAGTAATTGATGGTATGCTCCCATCCAGAGTTATGTACTTTGACTATATGTTTTTAGTATTACTTCTACGTGAAGTCAACGATTTACATAGTTGAAGATGCTAATTTCAAATAACAGACTGTAGTGGTAATTTTTATACGATAGATGGAGTATATGAAAGCATAGAGTTGATAGTTCCGTTAGAGTACGGCCGTGTGAAGATTGTATATAGATATTAGAATAGCGAACTAGGACAACTTTTAAGGAAGGTACAAATCGGTTTTTTCATCTCTCTTTACCAAACTCCCCCTTTGGAGAGGGATGGTGAGGGGTGTCCCCCCCCCCGCCACCACTGGCAAAAAGAGATGAAAACCGACCCGTTCGCTATTCTAATTGTTGTCCTAGTTCGCTATTCTAATATCTATATACAATCTTCACACTGCCGTACTCTAACGGAACTATCAACTCTATGCTTTCATCTACTCCATCTATCGTATAAAAATTACCACTACAGTCTGTTATTTGAAATTAGCATCTTCAACTATGTAAATCGTTGACTTCACGTAGAAGTAATACTAAAAACATATAGTCAAAGTACAAAAAAGTTGTTTTCTACAAAGTTGCTTGAAATTAGCTATTACTTTGCCGAAGAATGTATACCTTAATTTATTCAAACAAAAAAGTAAGATTTATGATTTTAATGATAATAAGAACCACCCTAGAATTAATTTTCATAAAAATAAGGGCCTAACTATAAGGAACAACTTTGTAGAAGAGGCTTTTAGTCTAAAGTTTCAATTTCAGGTTCAAAACATATCATTCCACCTAAATCTGCATTCTGGACCACTGTGCATTGTGCAATCAGTTCCTATACTTATGCTGTGGACGGTATTACCATTGAGGTAACTCTAAGACTAAAAGGTCCCGAAGAAACGTGCTCAACTTTTTTGACTCAGTTCTGGTATTCTTTTCGGTCCCAAGCTAATCGATGCACCCCTCAAAACATAGGAAAATCCACGAACCCCTCATTTTATCTGTATAAATTTCATAGCGAATCAAAACAAACATAGTGTAGTACTGATAAAACTGCCATTGATGTTGGCTTGTAAAATCTTGAAGTTTAACATCCATATTAACATGGTTCCGGTCATGTCCCAAATTAGCAACTTCCCCCGGGAATCCAGAACCTTCTCTAGGATGGGCATCGCTGAAAATGATTCTGGAGGCATCGCTCTGAACAATCATGAGGATTGATACCCAAATTGACGTGACTCAAAATATTAACATTACTGGTCACTTTACCGGAACCAAATTCAAGAAAATGGATATTGGATCTGTGGACAGTATAAAATTTAGAATTGCTTCAGGAAAAAATATAAATTCAAATAAATTTACATAAAAAATAAAATCATACAAGCGATGAAAAAATCAGTTTTTGACATACCACTAACAAATTCAAAGCATCTCTGATGGCCACTAACCACCACCAATTTTAAAATTATTTATTAAAACTGCTTTAATTTTCCCGTCAAAAGCATCTGGTTCATCTAAATTGGATTATGTTTCGAAAATGTTATGCCATTTTAATCCCCTGTATGACAGATGATATTAGAATTGCTGGGCAAATGGAGATTTTCAGAATAGTACTTGATGAACCTGACGTCTTGAACAAAAACCAGAGGGATTCACGGAGATCTTTGATCGCATGAAGTTCTTTAAAAAATTAATGGTCAACATGGCATTATGAGTGAATATCTAAGAAATGTTATTTGAATTGATGATGTATTGAATATCTTCAGAAAAATAGTCTGCAATAATTTCTTATTGCTGACTAAAGCTTGAGTCATTTAATATCTGGACGCACTGTTTATTTTACTGCAGTGCTCCTAGCGGTCGGATCTGGAATGTTTTGACAGCAGTTTGTTTGGAAATGCTTCTTCTTTTAGTGCTGAAAAGTTTGTCACGATTCATTTGGTTTAAAAGAAGTTGCACTTAATGATCACAGATCTCCACAATTCCACTGCCCAGCAGTTCAAATCATATCTTCAAGATACCTGGTTGTTCAAAAATTATTCAAAAAACCTCCAAGTGAACATCTCCAAAATATCCTCAAGATATTTGTTTTAGACTTCAACTTGATCAGGTATCATTCTGAAAATCTTAAAATGCTCAATAATTCAAATCACGTCATCAAGATATTCTCATTGATTCCAGGAAATAGCATCAAGGATCCTGAAAACTTCAGGATGATTTTTCAAGATTTCAGATTGATCAGACACCATTCTAAAGATATCCAAGTACTAAAAGACGGCAGCTTAGAAATTATTCTAGACAAGCTGTAATAACAAATAGTTTCATAGTTCAAACATTTGAGAATGTTTTAGCATGTGAATGTACTTACTCTTGGTATATTTTTTACGCGGCATTTTTGTTTTACACTGTACATCCGGAGAGCTTTGAGATTTCGGAGTAATTGTTTTTGTAAACAAACACGTCTATCGCCGATTTCTCATAATTGAAACTCAATCTCACAAATAAACCATACCAAATGATAGAGGAATAATGTATCTACCTGTTTGTGCAGTTAATTGCCTAACTGTCATATTTGCCACAACAGATCAGATCCGGATACATTGTGCACCACTCTTAAGAAGGTGAAGGCTAGACCTACATTAATTCGACTTTTAACCTATTATCAAATATTTCCCTTGTGAATTGGTAAATATGTCTCCTGTAACAAAAAATATTCTGTTTTTTTTTTTTCAGCATGAACTCACAAGACCACCGGCAGTACCCTTGCGATAATCGCTCCTACACCTGGCGGCTGTACTTCGAGCGCATCATTCCTGGTCTGAAAAAGAACTTCTTTAAGGAAGACCTCAACAATGTCAAGGAGGCCAAGCAGGCGCTTCGGAAGAAGGAACTGACTGTCAGCAGCATCCTGGCCGTTTTCTTTACTTTTATCTTATTCCAGCTGTACTATCTGCTTTTTTGAATTCAATATACAATCTAATGAAACGAAAATAGGCTGCGTGATTCTGGTCACGCATGGAGTGTTCAGGTCTGATTTGATAAAATAAGATTACTCTGTAACCTTAGATAGGGCACTCTCTCTAGTGTATACAATAACATGTTGACATGGCTACTAAACGGCGGACGTGTTCAGATTCTTCGAGGGCAGGTAACATGGAGGTAACCTTGAACACATGTTTGTCGCGTTCATCACGTGAGCGAATGGCGGGTTAGCAAAAGCATAGGTCATGTAAATAACGGTTTGTTTCTAGCATTGATATGAAAATGTAAAAAAAGAAATACAAACATATAATTCACACACAAAACAACAACTACAACACTTCCAGCCGTTTGTGCGTGCACCGGCTAAATTTAAATCTAGTTTATAATGCTGCTTGCTCAATCTTTTTCCATCATGTATTTATTAAATTGAATTTGTGTGCTCCTGTCGCTTAAAATAAATTTAATTATTTGACGGTAAATAAAGCTGATCAAGAAAAGATTTTTTATTTCAATCAACAATGTAACTAATCCGAAAACCCCTTCATGTTATTCCATTTCAATTCATTGACTGTTTGATCAATCAATGCCAACCCCTGAGGCGAGCTGCTTTGTGCAATTCCTAAAACGATTTCCACTTCGTTTTTTTTCTGTCTCTGTCCGTACATTTCACACTTAGTAGGCTGTTAAGCTCTCCAGCGGAAGCTGCTTTCATAGCATAGGCACACAGATCTGATTAAAAATCACGTAAAACATGATTGTGCGAACAACGAACAGACCTTGACAATGATTGTGTAGCACAGCTATCAAAAGGCTTGCTTAATTGCTTCTCAGCTAATGAATTAACCAGTACAGTACGATTTAAATGTAAATTTTAGACCGGTTATTCAGATGCTACAGCCCCATCTAAATGCATAACTGATCGCAAAACCATTCGCTCTGGCTATTTTGTTGATGATTTGCAATCACTACCTACATATAGGTTTAAAGCGTAATCGAAACCTGTGAAGTAAAAGTAAAATCATTCAAGCGTCACCAGCTCATCAACGTATTAGTCGTGCTTAATTTTATACCGTTAGATGACGCATTATTAGAAGAAATGCACCAGTTTGAACAAAACCTTGAATTTTAGGCTTTTTTTTCCCAATATGTTAAAACTGCGGAGTGCCTGTAGAGAGAGTGACGACATCTCTCGACAGCTGCTCTAGTTCAACCGTAAAACAGCTTTGTCTGTTTTCGTGAAAAGAAACCCATTTTACAAATCTGTCATGTGGAGTAACGTTGGTGGTCTAGCTAATATTGTTGCGAGACAAAGTGGTACATAACCACTCGAGTATATATTACAGTAGACGCTATTATACCAACAATCAATACGAAACTAACGATTTTAAATTGGCTCACCACTTTAGTAGCCTATTGGTCCCAAGTAAACGATTAACGTACCCTATTCTAGTCGAAATTCTAGTACTACGCAATGTTTGTTTTGATTCTCTATGAAATTTTGACAGATAAAATGAGGGGTTATTGGTTTTTCCTATGTTTCGAGGGGTGAATCGATTAGCTTGGGACCGAAGAGAGTACCAGAGCTGAGCCAAAAAGTTGAGCACGTTATTTCGGGACCTTCTAGTCTTAGAGTTACCTCTATGATTATACGCAATACTCGAATAATAAATTCCGTTCAACAAATTTCTTCAACATTGTGGAAGAAAGATACTTAAATGTGATTACACAAAAAAGTTGATGATAAAACCATAGAGGTAACTCTAAGACTAGAAGGTCCCGAAATAACGTGCTCAACTTTTTGGCTCAGCTCTGGTACTCTCTTCGGTCCCAAGCTAATCGATTCACCCCTCGAAACATAGGAGAAACCAATAACCCCTCATTTTATCTGTCAAACTTTCATAGCGAATCAAAACAAACATTGCGTAGTACTAGAATTTCGACTAGAATGGGGTACGTTAATCGCTTGCTTGGGACCAATAGGCTAGTCAAGTAGTGAACCAATTTAAAATCGTTAGATTCGTATTGATTGTTGATAAAACTCTAAATAATGTGTACCTGAAGAACTTTTTGGCTCAGCTCAGGTACTATCTTCGGTCCCAAGTTAATCGATGCACCCCTCAAAACATAGAAAAATCCACAACCCCTCATTTTATCGGTCAAACTTTCATTCGGTAAAAAGTTATCACATCTAATCCAAATGCTCTTGCACTTGACTCAGTCTGTTACGCGGCACTACGAATCGAAGTGATTTAACATTGATTTTCAAGTTATTAGCGTTTTGAAACAAAGTGATTTCAACAATCAATACGGAACTAACGATTGAAAATTGGCTCACCACTTGACTAGCCTATTGGTACCAAGCAAATCGATTACGTACCCCATTCTAGTCAAAATTCTAGTTCTACACTATGTTTGTTTTGATTCGCTATGAAAGTTTGACAGATAAAATGAGGGGTTAGTTGATTTTCCTATGTTTCGAGGGGTGAATCGATTAGCTTGGGACCCAAGATAGTACCAGATCTGAGCCAAAAAGTTGAGCACGTTTCTTCGGGACCTACTAGCAACAATCAATACGAAACTAACGATTTTAAATTGGCTCACCACTTTAGTAGCCTATTGGTCCCAAGCAAACGATTAACGTACCCTATTCTAGTTGAAATTCTATTACTACACTATGTTTGTTTTGATTCGCTATGAAAGTTTGACAGATAACATCAGGGGTGTGTGGATTCATGCAGAACATGCAGGGGTGAGTGAAATAGCTTGGGACTGCTTGGGACCGTTGTTCTGGTACTGAGTGAGCCAAAAATAATAATGATTTTCTTCGGGACCCAGTGGTCTTAGAGTTACCTCTATGCTACTAGTCTTAGAGTTACCTCTATGGTGATTTGTCGTTGAAAAATATGTACTGTATAACATCTTTAAATCAAAATGATTATCATTTGAATCGGAACCACTGTTTTCATCCATTGAATTTGATTAGTTTTGCTTTTGGAAGCAAATGTCAAAACTCACATGACAAACATTACTCGCGAAGATGGCAAGTCAACAACAAATGAAGTTAAGTGAGAGAAGCGATAATTCCATAGAGATAACTCTAAGACAAGTAGGTCCCGAAGAAACGTGCTCAACTTTTTGGCTCACCTCTGGTACTATCTTCTGTCCCATGCTTGTCGAATCACCCCTCGAAACATAGGAAAAACCAATAACCCCTCATTTTATCTGTCAAACTTTCATAGCGAATCAAAACAAACATTGCGTAGTACTAGAATTTCGACTAGAATAGGGTACGTTAATCGTTTGCTTGGGACCAATAGGCTACTAAGTGGTGAGCCAATTTAAAATCGTTAGTTTCGTATTGATTGTTGATAATTCTTCATCTCCACCCGAAATAATTTGCGTTCTAGAGCGTGAGTAATACGAAATTGTTGCTATAGTTAATAATAGTGTATTATTGAGATAATTTCGATTACAAAACAGGGTCAAACTTATCAAACTTATTGCTCAATGTCTCGCCTTGCTTCTTCTAAAAGCCTTGCGATGTTGTTCAATGTCACTTAGAAACATGTGATCTGGGTAGTAATATGATATGGTCATATTCTGAATAACATATAACTAGGCTTGTAGCATGAACAAGGTTATATATTTATGTAAACCCATTTTCAGCAAAAATTAAATCCAAGGGTACATTACTTAAACTTAAGGTTCAATTTACTTTGATGCATTTTCGAAAAAATCAAAAGCAGTTTTTTTCGACGCATTATTTCAGATTGCTAAAAGCTCGCGTCATTTTGTGTAGAATAGCAAAAGGAATCGAATAGTGCGAGCATTTTGTAATCTGAACTAATGCGTCGAAAAAAACTGCTCTTGAATTTTTCGAAAAAGCATCAAAGTAAATTGAACCTTAAAGTGATAGATTGTTAATATCAGTATGATTGACATTACGAGTTCAAAGCACAGCACATCAACAACTATGTGCAATACAATCTAAAATGAAGTGATTTGCTATTGATTTCATCGTGCTTCGATATGATCTCTTCCAAGGGATTTGCACATCGAATTGAAATGTTTGGCAAGTAGCGCAAATTCAACAGCAAATCACTTTACATGAACATGATGTGTTTTTTGCCGTGTGGGAGATTGCCGTAAAAGCTCAACGCAGATGTCGCCACTGCATGATGATGATAATGTTGACAGACTGCATATATAATTCGTGAAAATTAGCGTTAAATCATAATTTTCATCAAGCCTGTGTAAAATCCTTCCAATATAACATTCGAATTGAAGAAGAAAACGTTTTTACGATCAGATTGATGTGCATCTTTGACTTTTCCAGATGAACCTTCATAAAATATATTCATTTCATTTCGCGGCTCCATCAATGCTGCATCGTAAATATGATGTAAACAGAAGTAATTTGCTCAATTACTCAAAATAAAGATGATTTGTCATCTTGTTATCACTTTGAAAACCATGTAGCACCAGTTCCAAATCAAGTTCCGTTGCGTTTTCCGTCGAAAATTGTGAGTATCAACATGTTTGCATAGAAAAGGCCAAAATGAACATTTATTGAATATTGGCGTCCTATACAACCAATTTTCCATTACCACCAGCATGATACAACCTTTCCTAAGTAATTTCCGCTTTCATCTTAGTGGAAATCGCACATATTCACCATTTTCCGAAAAATGCAGCTGCGCAGGAGGTAACCTCTCGCTGTGGGTGCAAACTTGTTATGCATTATTTTCCATGAAAACATCTCCGATCCATACCGAAATAATAACAATTAGTTTTCAAACACGATTGAAGCAAAAGTTTCCACGGGAAATTATTAGTTTTTCTTTATGGACCGATTTGCCCCAAAAATAATCTGTTTTACTTGGAAAATTTGGAAACTATTCTCCTTCTAGTAGTTCTCACTTCGAAATGTAGGAGGCGAAAGCTTGGAAAAGTTTCACTGCAAGACGCCAATAGCGAATCAAAACACAAACATAGTGTACACACCAAATTTCATAAATCAGTGCCAACATTTCAAAGGGGCGTAATTAAATTTGTAAACAATGGCTCTAGTCGCGAGTTTAGTCGTCAATTTCTCGCGAATGAAAACTCACTCATGAAAATGAATGACATGTTTCCAGTATCAGCTAAGCATTTGTAATTTGGAGGGGTGGGTTTTCATTTGCGAGAAATCGACGTCTAAAGCCATTGTTTACAAAAGCAATTACGCCCCTTTGAAATGTTGGCACTAAAATCTAGTTCGGTACTTTTTTTTGCTGGATTCGTTCTGTAAAATACAATTTTACCGAAAGCTTTGTAAAAAATATTGTTTTACCAAATTTCCGCAATCAAATTGCTGAATTTCCGTAATTTACTGAAATTTACCATAAACGGTAATTAAAAATTACTGATTAAAACTGTAAATGGCTGAAATTCCCGAGGGGGACGACTCTATCTACGATGCAGGAAATATTGTGTTTTGCTGTGGCTAGCTGTGCGAACGCTGAGTAGATAGAAAGAAGATTTATCACGATTTTGAAGATTTCCTGCAAAAAGATTATACGCGATGCACGTAGATGCGAGAAATGAAAGAAGATTTTTCGAAGATTTATTCGCTAGTGTGAGATTTTTTTTCGCCCCTCTCGGAAATTCCGCAATACTGTAAAAATTATGACGAATCAACTGTTAACCCAATATTTTACAAAAACAAACAGTAACTGCTGTACGAGATTTTTGTAAAATTTACATACTGAACATTTGTGTAAACTTCATAATATCAAACCCAACTTTTGCTGCCATTTCTAAGATGAGTTTTCTTCTGTGCTCCGTTGTTAAACGTAAAGCAAACCCCACACGCATCAATATATTGACGCGAAGGGGAATTATTGACAATAATATTGATGATGTGAATTCAGAAATATTGTCAATCTCGATGTATTGACGTCAATATATAATGTATTGACAATACGATTATTGTCAATCAAAGCATCCGTGTAGGGTCCACTTAAGAACTTTACTTTTTTACTACAATCCATTCGCTGAAAGTATAATTCTTTTTCATTACTGGGCTTTCAGGTGCGATGGCTCGACATTAAGCGACCACACATAAACAGCATCCTTCCAGAAGCACACATGAAATTTATTAGTCAAATGAATAGTATGTGTGGACATATTACACATATTAAATATGTATCCGACACATAGATATCATTTGTTGATCACATTGCAAAAATTCATGTGTGGGACATATAAAAAATATCTTTGAAATTTTATCGGTGTATGAAATTTTACATGGAAATTCGTCAATACAAATGTGTGGAATTTTATTAGTGTAGTCCCTAATAAAAATAACCATAAAAGAGAGCTTAACGACGTGTTCGGTGTATCATCCAAACTATTTGTGGGATAGTTTATCCATTCGGGCTAAAGTTCGTTTATGGTATTTGTTTATTAGGGGTTACTCGTGACCACCCGTAAAAAAAAGTCCAATAAAAATACAATGATTTTCATTGTCATTGTAACCTTGATATTTATTGTCAAAACATTGGACATTTTTGTCCATTACCATAAAATCACAACGAAATTCATGGTTCACAACAATGAAAATCATGGTATTTGAGAAATTTACAGGAAAAAAGGGGGGTTGTTAAGCATCTTAACAATAAAAAAAGTGATTTTTCTCGAACAAATTTGATCTCATCACACTAATTTTCATTGTTTGAGCATTGGATCGTTAAAAATCGAAATTAATGTTTTCTCTCGTACAATAATTTAACAATAAATTTTAATGTACTCGAAATTCAACAGTAAAAATCATTGTAATTACGTTGTTTTATTATAATAATTTTTTTCGGGCAGTGACCTAACACAGCAATACAAAATAAAAATAAAAAAGTCCCTTGCTCACTGAACGAGAATTTTGGTGTATACCCCCCTTGACCATAATTCGGTGTACCGCGTGTACCTATAGTCGCTATAGTCTGGCGGATAGAATCTCGGGAACCAATTGAGCTGTCAAATAGCGGAACCAATCGAGCAAATCACGACCAACAAAAAAAAAGAGCACATCAGCTATTGCGAACAAAACTTCGGAAACCCTTTTCTCGTGACTCAAGGCTCGCATACGCAAACTAACACCATCTTTGGGTTGGGGAAAGTTTTCCCTATCCGAAGATGCCGGTAATTTGCGTTCGATTGGCAAGGAAAGAATAATCAACGTTTGTGTATAAAAGTTGATAGTACTTTTTCAATTGATGGTCTAAAATATATTGAATTGGTTCCGCTTTTTGATAGATCGAAATTCTATTCGCCAGACTATGAATATAGCGACTATACGTGTACCGGGATCGAAGGCTAGCTAGCACCAATCATTGTTTTGACATTTTAACCCGCAGATGCCAACGGTGCTAACCCCGACCAACTGAAAACAAATCAGCTGTTTTGTGTTGACGAGTGATGCAAAAAAGGAGCAAAACGTAGTTTTTAGCTGTTCGCTGTGGTTAAGAATATTGCTAATCCTCACTATATCGGTAGAAAATGACTTCATATTACGTTCAAGATTACTCTGACGCTCTAGACAAGTTCAGGATATGCAGGAAATGTTTGAAGAAATGTGAAAAACGCTACAAGTTCAACGGTACCAATGAGAGAAGTTTTCCAGTCCTATCGGTTAATTCGATAGAACTTAACCGTTCCTTGCAAAATCTCCGCTCTTTTCCTTTGTATAGGCTAATGATTGCCAACCTGATCGTTGACTTTTGCGACAATGATCAACAAAGGCTGGTGATAAAAATCCATCCTCCTGCCAAGGAACCCCTAGATTATGCATGGTTAGTGATGCTTTCCTCGTGAACTGCATTAAATGAATTCATTTATGAATAATGTTTCATTCAAGGGGTGAGAGAGCGAACCGAATGATTTGGGAACGCATCGAGCTGGATGAAATGATGTCCTGGCTGTCGACACTTGGAGGAGCATTTTCGGCATTAGGAGATTATAAATTAGCTTGCGTAAGATGGAGTTTCGATCGAGTTGTTTCAACGTTATTCCAATGACCGCACTTTTTATTTCAGGCCGACATTGCCGGTCGAATTTCGGTCCAACAAATGAAACTAGCCGTTCGATTGGGAGAACCGTCCGTCATAGCGCGGTGTCGTCTCTATATGGCAATTGCAATGATTCAAAAGTATGACTTCGCAGGATCCAAACAAATCGTCAAGAGGATCTATCGGAAGGAAAAAAGGCAAACAGAACCGGACACTAGGTTGGTGAATATGTGCCTGGGAATATGGTCAAAGTTGAGTTACGAATATGACTTGTATCAGAAGAAGCTGAACAGACCCAAAGAATAAGATTATGACTGGTTAGGTTAGTCAGTTCCGGAATGGTGATAGAATAAATTTCAATGCAAACGAATAGTAGAAAGCTGTCATCATTTCGACCCACGAAAGCCATTTATGTGAACAATTTCAGTGTTGTTATATTTATTTTCATTAAAAAAAATACGTCTCCCGCATTCCTGTGACATATATTGATTATTAATATGTTATTCATTTAAATACAGTTTACATATTAGCTAATTTATGTTATTTCTTGTCAAATACAAGAATGGCTTTCAATTCAAGCTTACACACGTATCTGCTTTAACACGCTTGTGAATTGCAACACACGCTCCGCCCTTATTTTTGTTTGTTTTTCCTACAGCTGCTTTCAATTAAGAAGCTTAAAGTCTTTCCGCTTTTAGCAGTTATTGTTTTGTTGTGTATGCTTTCGTAATATAGTACCTAGTATAATTTATCTTTCATGCAAAGTGGACAAGGTCTAAATAACCGCACTGCGTCGTGTGACTCTATGATAGTGATTCACTTAGCCAGTGTACCCATCGGGTCCCATGCAGGCAGAACGGTTGGGGTCAAATCGAAAACGTCAAGTACGTCCTGTGGAACTATGCTGCGATCGACCACCACTTCAAACACGAATTCCTTGAACCATTCGGCCGTCATGATGAGATATCCCTTCTCACCACGGTCCTCGCCCCAGGAATTTTCCACGCGGAACTTTGTCGGTCTTTGCGTATTGGGCTGCAAGTAAAATATGTCCAGGAATTGATTTGATTTAAACACCAAAATTAAACCAAGTACTTACGTCAACGGACACCCCAGTAAATACCATAGCGTGAGTCATCATCGATTCTCCGTACATTAAGCGATCTGCCTTATCCATAGTAGTTTGAATATCTACTCCAAATACTAACTTGAAGTCATGTCTATAATGAAAGTAATCTGAATAATTAACAAACCCAACAAAGAAACCCGAAGCATTACATACATATCTAGATCCTCAATACCCTGTTTGCCAGCAAAGCGTTTGCTAACTTCGCATCCGAACCACACCGGTTCGCCGAGTTTCAGTGCTTTCGTCACCAAATCCAACAACGTGTCCACCGGTTGATTGTTGTACAGCACCGGTCGCCCTCCCACCACGTTCCCCAAGCAGTCCACGGTATACGACCGTCCGTAGGGGTTCGCCTCGCGAGGATCCGTCACCAGGCACACCTTATCGTCGACATTAAAGTATGGCTTGACATACTTTTCGTAGAAATCTACCGGTTTGATTGGTCCGATGCTTAGATATTTCTTGCTCTTATCGTAATACTCCCAGGTAAACTTCTCCGGCGGAATGCCAAGACAGATGGCGACCACGTTGTACACTTCGTTCATTTGCTCCTGGATTTTGGCTTGCACGTCTTCGTCGCTGGCGCCATCGGCGATGAGCGTACGTAATACTTTAGCGTACTCCCGCAGCTGAAATGAAGGGAAATGTATGATAATGATTATTATTTAGTGACCACTCGATCGAAGTTGATCTACGCTGAGGCAAAGGAACGTAAGAATTTCATAAGAACGGCACTTATGAAATTTCGACGAAAGGATTTATTATGGAAATCATAAGTTTGGCTTATGAAACAGACTTATGAACTCTAAGTATAATGGAAAATAGAATAGATTAAAGGTGTATAAGATCCACTCGTAGTTTCTCGTGTATTACGATAATCATTAATAAGCCATGCTTATGAAATGCAAAACTCATGCCTATGAAATTCATAAGTATCATATGAAATCAAAATTGTCTAGGTTCATAAGACATTGTGTTAAGATTTTTTGCCTCATTGCATTGTCGACATTGCAATATGGTTTCAGGAGGTCCTCACAACTTCTTATATATTGAGTCTGATAGTTGTCTGTCAGTCAAATGGTTTATGGTTGTGGTCTCTTGTTTTCCAAAATGAGGCCATTCTAGCTCAATTTTGTTTCAGAATTGTTGTAACACTTTGCCATAAGACTCCTCCACCTGTAGTTTTAACAAGCACTTGACATACTTTTCTAAACAAATTCCGCAGATTCTATAACATTCCCCAGGAAAGATGCTGAAATTAGTAATTCATCACTTTTTTTGGTCATTTGATATTATATTTCAGTGTTATATTACAGAACAGAATTATCGCGGAATTTCGATTCTAAGCTGCCTCCCAAAAGCTCTGGAGAAGATCGTATATGAGGTCGTATATCAAGCGGTTAGGCCAATAATTACCGAACATCAGCACGGCTTCGTGAGGAAACGCTCTACAACAACCAAGTTAATGGTGTTTGTCAACTCGCTGATCAACTCCATTGAAAAACGACGACAAGTTGATGCGATCTACGTGGACTTCAGTAAGGCGTTCGATAGGGTTCCACATGTGCTTGCAGTGGACAAAGTGAGGTGTATGGGATTACCTAATTACAGTCTTACTTAACTGACCGCTCTGCCTATGTGAGCATTAACGGTGTTAATTCGCCTAGTTTCGAGATACTCTCTGGTGTTCCCCAAGGTAGCCATTTGGGGCCTTTAATTTTCATCCTGTTCGTGAACGATCTGTGTAGTCGACTGTGTTCTTCGAAACTTATGTTCGCCGATGACTTAAAGATCTTTCGTACAATTAAGTCAAGACTTGACTGTTGCGCACTCCAGAAGGATATTGATTCCCTTTTGCGCTTGTGTACATTGAACGGTATGCAGGTTAATGTCACAAAATGATGCGCAATATCTTTTAGCCGTTCACGCGAGCCCTTACGACATGACTATAGGATAGGACTCAGTAGTTTGCTCTTCGTTTCTTCAGTTAAGGATTTGGGTGTTATCATCGACTCTAAAGTCAGATTCAATGAGCACATCTTCATGATAACTGCTAAAGCATTCGCCACATTAGGTTTCTTGAAACAGTCCGCATCGTGCTCTCTTGCCGTGCGGATCTATTTGCCTTTTGCTTAAGGAAGTGTTACTACTACCTAAAGCTACAACAAATTTAAACAGCACTTTTCAGTGCTCAACCTGTAAAAATTTTCTACCTTGTTCAACTCCTCTTATTCCTCTTCGATCCTTGTTTGGACCCTACCCGCGGTAATCCTTCTTGGATATCGATTTGGAAAACTCCTCTTCGATCCTTCAGATTCTTATAGTAATCTGCTTGGAAGTCGATTTGGATAAAAATTTACTGCCGCCATGGCGCCTAAACGCAAAAGAAAGGGGCAAACTCTTGACCCCCCTTCTGATGAAATTAATTTGAGTAATCAATTTGATTTGCTCACGGATGATGAGAATGATCCATCATCCAAGAAAAATTCTAGTAAACTTTCCCGGCTTAATGCCAAGAAGGAAAAGATTCCCCCTATTGTGATAACCACTTCCGATTTCCATGCTCTTCGCATGGAACTTTTGAATTTCGTGAAAGTTAAGTTTTCACTATAAATTGGACGTCGGGGTGAATGCCGTGTATTGGCTGAAACCTTGGACGGATTTAAATGTCTTCTCAAGTATCTTACTGAGAAGAAGCACAATTTTTTTTACTTACGACACCAAAACTGAACGTGTGTTCAAGGTTGTCATGAAAGGACTGCCCAGTGGTGAATCCCTGGATCAGATCAAAGATGAACTGGCAAAATTACTTGGAGTTGTGCCACTCCAAGTAATCAAAATGAAAATGAAATCCCGTCCTGGCGATTCGCGCAACGGAATTTCTAATGATTTTTATTTAGTTCACTTCAAGTCTAGTGAACTAAACAACCTTAAGGCCTTAGAAAAAGCTAGCCTTATGCTCCATGTCCGAGTGAAGTGGAAGACTGGAGGAAATTTCCAAAACCTCACTCAGTGCCGTAAGTGCCAGGGATGGGGTCACGGAACTAAAAATTGCTACATGCCAGCTAAATGCATGAATTGTGGTGATTCCTCTCACGCAAAGGACGACTGTCCTGTGAAGGAAGATCCTAAGAAATTTAAATGTGCAAATTGTGGTGAAAACCACAAATCCAACTTTTGGGAATGTAAGACTCGCAAAGCGATCCTACAATCTCGTTCTAACCGACAGGTAGGAAACGCTCCACGTTTCCGACCAGGTACAAATTCCTCTGCTGTTAACAACGGTCAGCGAGGAACAAATTCTACATTCGTACCCGTCGGTACAAATATCACCCCTGCTTCAAATGTTTCATCTGTACCTACTTCCCTCGCTGCTAACAATGTTCCGCGAGTTAATGGGGCTACCTATGCTGCTATTGCAGCGGGTAGAAATCAAAATACTAACCAACGTTCTAACGGAAATTTTGACAATTTTGACTTAGGAAGCATTACTGCTCCTAAAATTGAATTTTTACAGAATTCATTAATTGACATGATTTCTGATATGCTTAAATCTAACTCCATGTTTGATGCTATTCAAACTGGAGTAAAATTTGCTAATAATATTGTCATGACTTTAAAATTCAGTAATGGATTTTAAAGCATTAAACATTTTAAATTGGAATGCTCGATCTCTTAAAGATAATGAAGACGAGCTATTTAAATTTTTGTGAGTTCATAACGTGCATATTGCCGTTATAACTGAAACTTTCCTTAAACCTGACCATAAGGTTAAGAAGGACTCAAATTATTTAATTTATAGAAATGATCGTCTTGATGGACCCTGTTCAACACATTGTAGTTTCATATTTATACCTATGATCTTGACTTTTTTACCTAGGGGATGAGTACTTAAGGGGGTTAGATTTTGATAAGTTCTTTAGTGGGAATGACACTGATGAAGACTGCACATTGTAGTCGAAATACGTATCTGTCATGGATACAAAAATTAATTAAGTGGAATTAAATGGAAGATAAACCCTTTTGCTGTTTTATTTAGCATTCCGCTAACAACCCAATTTCATTACTTCATTATGATGGCTACCAAGCCTTTGGGGATTTTCCTTATTAGAGATTTGTATAGATTTTTCTCCTTTAGCTTACTTAAATCTTTGGTTTTTATTAGTTAGGTAGGTTCCGATTCAACACATTGTAGTTTCATATTTATACCTATGATCTTGACTTTTTTACCTAGGGGATGAGTACTTAAGGGGGTTAGATTTTGATAAGTTCTTTAGTGGGAATGACACTGATGAAGACTGCACATTGTAGTCGAAATACGTATCTGTCATGGATACAAAAATTAATTAAGTGGAATTAAATGGAAGATAAACCCTTTTGCTGTTTTATTTAGCATTCCGCTAACAACCCAATTTCATTACTTCATTATGATGGCTACCAAGCCTTTGGGGATTTTCCTTATTAGAGATTTTTCTCCTTTAGCTTACTTAAATCTTTGGTTTTTATTAGTTAGGTAGGTTCCGATTCAACACATTGTAGTTTCATATTTATACCTATGATCTTGACTTTTTTACCTAGGGGATGAGTACTTAAGGGGGTTAGATTTTGATAAGTTCTTTAGTGGGAATGACACTGATGAAGACTGCACATTGTAGTCGAAATACGTATCTGTCATGGATACAAAAATTAATTAAGTGGAATTAAATGGAAGATAAACCCTTTTGCTGTTTTATTTAGCATTCCGCTAACAACCTAATTTCATTACTTCATTCATTTGAAACCAAAGTTTTTGAAACTTTGGGAGTTTCTGTTGAAACAAAATTTGGACAACTTACGTTTATAGCTGCCTATTTGCCATTCCAATGCGTAGGCCAGCAAATGAATTTTCTCAAGGGTGACCTTCAGAAACTTACCCGTCATAGGTCTAAATTCTTCATTATTGGTGATTTTAATGCAAAACACCGCTCATGGAATAATGCTGAAAGCAATTCCAATGGTAATATTCTGTTTGATGATTGTTCTGCAGGTTATTACACTATTCAATATCCAAACAGCCCAACATGCTTTTCTTCTGCAAGAAATCCCTCAACTATTGATTTGGTCTTAACTGATTCATGTCAACTTTGTAGCCAATTGGTTACCCATGCTGACTTCGGTTCTGATCACCTTCCAGTAACTTTTGAAATATCCCAAGAATTAATTTGTAATCCCAACAGCTCTACTTTCAATTACCATAGGGCTGATTGGGAGCAATATCGAACATTTATGGAATATAACTTCGATCCAAACATTCCTTTGCAAACCAAAGATGAAATTAATTATGCTCTTGAATCTCTGACTACTTCTATAGTTGAAGCAAGAGCTGCCTCAGTACCAAAATGCGAGGTTAAATTCGATTCAATTATAATAGACGACGATCTTCAGCTCTTGATCCGTCTTAAAAATGTCCGTAGGAGACAATATCAAAGAACACGCGATCCTGCCATGAAAGTTATCTGGCGTGATTTACAAAAACAAATTAAAAAACGATTCTCTGCCCTGAGGAACAAAACTTTTGAAAATAATGTTTCTAAATTAGACCCGAGTTCCAAACCCTTTTGGAAACTCACAAAATTTTTGAAAAAACCTC